CATTACTATCCCGGGTTTGACCGTTTACATTTTCTTGGCGGGCACACGAGTATTTTACTCTCCTCTGCCGGCTCCTTATTTGGCCCCTTACGAGTTGCTACATCGATGGTGGGCAAGGTTGCCCATGGTTGTGCCTTCTCATTCATGTGTTTTCCTGGTTGATTCTATTTGTCTTGGTTTTGGTCGTCTCGTTCGGGTTATTTTGGAGGCCCGGGTCGGGCTATCCTTCTTCCTCGCTTTCGGTCTTATTTAACCTTGGTTCGTCGCTGCTCCTCCGGGGTTTATGTGCTTCTTTTTGTGTATAGCTGGTTTTGTAAATGTTTTATTGTTCACTTTGGCCTTTCACCTAATATTTTGTATGCTTCGCTACGCCTCTATCTATGCTTTTAGTTAGCTAGATCGGTTCGGGGTGGAGTTTTTCTTGGAATCTCTACTTGCTAGTTTCCTTGAACTTTAGTCTCTAGCTATGTTGCTCTAGTTTTGGGACCCCTGTTCCCATGTTCTCTCATCCTGTATTTACTTCTCTTGCTGGTTTTCCATCTTGTTTCACTCTATTTTTAAAAAAATAGTGTTACGCTACTCGGTCTGCGTGCGTTGTCTCTGCTTGTAGACTAGGTTTTGTCTTCTCGCTTGGCTGGTTAGCCTATGGCCTCCTCCGGTTCTGTTGGTTGTCTCTCGGGGATCTCCTCGCTTTTGGCCTTCCGTGTCTTCATAGCGGTTCTGCCTAGCTCCCTAGATGCTTCGATCTCTTGGCCTCGGGCTTATGCTATCCTGTCTTGGAGTTAGGCTCGTTACCGAGTCGTTAAGGTCGGGCCTAGACTCTTTTTGTAGATTGGTCAGAGCTATTTCGGTGCTCCAATTTGCCCTCTCTTCGGAGGTTCCTCCATTTCATATTACTTGCTACGTTACCTTAATGATTCTATTCGAGCCCTTACGGCGAGATGAGTTCTCACTTGTACATGGTAGAGTAGATTTGGATAATTGTTGTTTCATGGTTTTCTCTATATCTTCCACATTTATAGATGCTTTGCATATCTTCTCTCTTTTCCTAGCTTTTGCTAGTTTTGTTCGGGAGTCTGTTCCCATCTATTTCTTTTGTACTTGCTCGTATATCTTGGTTTCGTCGGTACAGAGCTTCGGTGTAACTTAGTATGAGTTGATTCCGGGTGGGCTTCGGCCTTGTTGGGTAGTTCCTCTCATCCATGATTCTCCACCTTCATGAGTTAGGCCCGTTACAATTCAATTTCCTCGTGTCCGGTTGCGGGGTGGGAGGGCTTCTAGTTAATATGGATTTAGGAGTTTTTCCTCTCGCCGGTTCCCTGTGTTTGGGCTTGCCTTAGCTAACTTGTTGTGTATTCCCGCCCTAAGATCAAGTTCTTATTTATCTTCGAGCAAGGTTTTTGTTACCTAAACTAATGGCTCTCTGCTTTGGTCGCTCTAGCTTGGTCACTCCTCGCATCGAGCGACCACAAAATGCTTCTTCCATGTGCTACTCGCTTTCAGGGTGCTCATTATTCTAGCCTCGCTAGTAGTCCCTCCATTTGCACACTTCGTTCTTTTTGGTTACTATTTTTGGAAAGCATGGTCCGATCGAGTTGCCGACTTGGGATCCGTCTACTCTCCTCTGCTCGCTAGCGATTGCTAGTAAGACTTCTATTCAGCCCCGTTGGCTCTCTCGTTTGTCCGTCGTTGCTTGCTCCCGTTGGTTCCTATTTCTCTCGTGCTAATAGATGATGCTTGGCTTCCCTCCTAATCTGGGATCCGCATGCCCAAATGCTACCGCCTTTACCTGGTTTTTGTCTTCCTGCTCGTACTCATCGTTAACCTTATTAACTCGTTGGGTTTCATTTTGCTTTCTCAATAAAGTTTTTGTATGCTTCGTTGAGCTTTTGTATATGGTTCCAGCTAGCTTCTATTTGTTCCTATTTGGTTCTTCTTGGAACCTCTCGCTAGTTTGATTCCTTGAGCAACCATCTAGATATAACTCGGTTCGGTTTCTTTGGGAGCTTGTTCCCAATTTTTATAAATCCCGAATATGTTACTTTTACTCGGTTTTCCAACTCGGTTTCACCTTTGATTTATATACTTACATTTAAATAAAAAAGAAAGAGCTCTTAGTAGAAGAGCTCTCAATAGTCAAAAGAGTGGAGAGAGAAAGAAGAGAGAGATGCTCTCCTCCTTCGGTGAGTTTCCCCGAAGCCCTGATTCATCGTTCACCTTCTTCTTACCCTCCCCACGTCCCTTTCTCCCACCTAAAACTTGCCCTACCTCTATCTTCCTCTCGTGGTTCTATCCTCTTCTGTTTTCTCGCCCCCTTCCCTCTTTCTCTCTCCTTGTTTTTCCGGTCTCCTTCCTCCCTTCTCTACCCGCGACTTCATGGCTAAGAAAAGAGGAAATCTACCACCAAACTTCCCTCCTCATCCGGGCGACCTAGTATGGCACCTCCGGTTCGCCTTTGGCGGCCCCGCTCGGTGCTTATTCTCTTCCTCCCGCCATGGCCACTTGTTCATAGTAAAGGCAAAGCTCAAACCGAGGCCGCTGGAGCTCAGTCCCGAGTTAAGCATGCTTCCCCGACTCCCTTGCAGTTGTGGACTACTCTAGTGAGAGGGAAATTGTTTCCGATTCTACAAGCATGGAGGAAGAATTCGATATGGTTCAACTTTCGGTTTCTCACCCAACGATTTTAAATCCGTGTTTCTCGCTCAAGAAAATTTCAAAGCTGGTAGTCGGCTTATGGATGTGGCTTCGGCTTCGTGCGGCTCCCTTCCTCCTCGGACCTTGGAGCCGCCGGCCTCCCTAGTCCCGGCTCAGCTCGCACCTAGGCCTCTCGGTTCCCCCTCCCAATTTCAAATTCAAAGTCTCCCCTATGGGGATAGGCCATCCGGCCACATGGCACCGACTCGATCACCAACCGCAGGACCCACCATTGCCACCCATACCTCCCATCCAGGCTCCTCTTCTTCCTCTCGCCTTGGACTCCTCCGGTCGCCCGGGCTAGCCTCCTCTTCCTACCTCTACCAAACCAGGTACTTCGAACTCCCTTTTGTAAAATGGAGGGCTTTATTTGCTAACAACCATAGCACTATCGCATGCCCTAAGCTTACTCATTTTAGTGCTATCATTGCTTCACAATCATGTAAACTACTTGATGATGATCCTCAATGTGATATTTGGAAACAATGCTTAATTAGCTATGTGGTCGGCAAGTCCCCAAGCTATCGGGCATTGAAAGGTATTATTGAGAAAACTTGGAAATGTAAGGCCGGTATCCGCCCCCGCCCTCCTTAGCCGAGAGGGGTTTGGGGGTAATGATGCGTGACACCCGTGCAGACGTGCCTTCGGCCATGAGGCCTCGGGTGCAACTTGCATTCAAAAACTCGATGGCTCACGGGATTCTAGCAATTCACACCAAGTATCGCATTTCGCTACGTTCTTCATCGATGCAAGAGCCAAGATATCTATTGCCGAGAGTCATTTAGCTTATCACAAATTGGAGACGCACCCCCAGAGCACCCTTTAACGACGGAGCGCGCTCTTCATACTCTAGTTCCTTGGCGCTTCTCGTGTCGAGGTTTGTTTTCGAGCTACGTCGGTGTGGATGCACCCGTCCGTGGCCCCAAAGGACGCAGGGGACAAGAGCCCCCTGCAGCCCTAGCATGCTCGGCCACAAGTTCGTAGGTCATTCTGCCGGGCAGGTTTTGACAATGATCCTTCCGTAGGTTCACCTATGAAAACCTTGTTACGACTTCTCCTTCCTCTAAATGATAAGGTTCAGTGGACTTCTAATGACGTCACCGATGGTGAACCGCCCACGTCGCCGCGATCCGAACACTTCACCGGACCATTCAATCGGTAGGAGCGACAAGCGATGTGTACAAAGGGCGGGGACGTAGTCAACGTGAGCTGATGACTCACGCTTACTAGGAATTCCTTGTTGAAGACCAACAATTGCAATGATCTATGCCCATCATGATGAAATTTCAAAGATTACTCAAGCCTATCGACCAAGGCTATAGACTCATTGAATACATCGGTGTAGCGTGCGTGCGGCCCGGAACATCTAAGGGCATCACGGACCTATTATTGCCTCAAACTTCCTTGGCCCGGAAGGCCATAGTCCCTCTAAGAAGCCGGTCATAGAGGGTCACCTCCGCATAGCTAGTTAGCAGGTCGAGGTCTCGTTTGTTAACATAATTAACCGGACAAATTGCTCTACCAACTAAGAGCGACCATGCACCACCACCCATAGAATCAAGAAAGAGCTCTCGGTGCTCTCGGCGGTAGTAGGCGCCTCGAGAGAGAGAAGTAGAGAGAGATGCTCTCCTCCAATGGAGATCTTTCCTCAAGTTCCGGTCGACGTCACCTCCGAACCTCCTTCCCTCCGATATTCCGCCACCGTTCCAGCCTTCCCTCCCTCCCAATGGTTTCTCGTTCATCTTTTTCTTCCCCATGTTTCTCTCTCCCCGCACACCTCCATTTCCTTCTCCATTTTCTCTTTCCCCGCCCTCTCGTCTCCTCGCCTTTTCCCCCTCCGGACATGGCCAGAAGAAGAAGAAAACGCCCTCTAAGCTAAAGGAAACACCAAGCCGAGAAGAACCAGTCATTGCTTTGGTTGCTCCGGCCACCAACTCCAAATTAGTCTCGTTTTCGGTCGGTACTCCCCCGACGGGTCCAAATCGGCAGCCCTCTCGGACCCTCCGGTTGCTACTGCTCGTGGAAGAAGTTTTCGATGAAGAATCTTCAAGCTCCAATGAAGAAGGGTCGGATTCGATGAGGAAGGCGACTTTGCAAGTTCGACTGAAAATTTGGGTTCCCCCCAAAATGTTGAGTGAAAATTTGGCTTCCCGCTAAAAACTTTCAATTGCTAGAATTTCAAGTTTGGGTGAAAATTTGGTTTCCACCCAAAATGCCAAATTCTAGGGCATTCTACGGCTTCTTGCGGGAAGGCTGTTTTAGTGGCTAGTCGGAATCGGAGCGTAGGCCGTATGGTGAATCCGAGCCTAGTTGATACCGGAGGCTCGATAAGGAGGGGGCTCGATGGTGCCTCCTAGCCTTACTAGCGCTCCTTCGGAGGTCGTTCCTTTTGACCCTATGGTTTCGGAGGTCGGGGTCGTGACGGGCGAGTGGACATTAGTTTCCGGTCGAGCCAAAGCCGGCGCTCGCTTGAATCGACGAGTGTCGGTCTTGGCGAGCTTCGCCCTCTCATTCGGGGCAGCTGAAAGATGAGTTGGCTCAAGTATCTCATGTAGCTCCCTCTCGCTTAGACGGACAAGGGTAAAGCACCTACGAGCAGCTCCTTCACGGTTAGAGCGGGGGGCTCTTTGGTTGGCACTAGCGTGCAACCAAGCAACTATTGCGGTACGGGACGGACGCGAGTGCTAGAGGGACCGGCCTCTAGTACGGGCATGGTCTAAGTGACCCAAAGCGATCGAAGTGGATCTAGGCACCAAGGATGGGCTTCGTTGGTTGGCGCTAGCGTGCGGCCTGTTCTCATTGGGGCTCGGGATAGGCGCGGCGTGCGGGGGACGGCCTCCAACGTATGACCGGTTTGCATGGCTCGAATAGGCGAAGTGGTGATAGGAAAAAATGATGGGGCTTTGTTGGATATGGTTAGTTCTGGTTTGCTAGGCCTCCCACAGGTGGAAGGGGATCGGGCGCAAGCCCCGGCGCTAATCGAGCGTCGCAAGACAAAGAAGACTAAATGGAGTGCTAAGGAGGGCCTACCCTCCGTAGTGGTTCTATGATTGTCCTCTCGTTAGAATGTTAGGGGCCTCAATAGTCCCCTAAAGTAGCATGAGGTTGCTGGCCTCATGAGATTGAAGAAGATAGATGTTTGCACTTTAGTCGAAACTAAGCTCGACCTGGCTAAGTTAGCTCACTTTCATCGATTTCGGCTTAAGCGGTGGAGGCTTACCTCTAATGCCTCCGAGTCCTCCAAAGCTAGCATTGCCCTCTTTTGGAATTCGGATACAGTCTTGATTGATCTCTTGGATATTTCTCCCTGTGGGTTGCATGTTCATATTCGTAACCTTGTTCATTAGTCACAGTTTCATGCCACCTTTGTCTATGGTTTTCATACCATCTCTAGTCCTTGAGAGCTCTAGGCATATCTCTCGTTCATGGAATCCTCCTAGTCGGTGGTTGGTTCTCGATGACTTCAACTCTATCCTTTCTCCGAAAGACAAGCATAATGGTGCGGTGGGGTCTAACTATGAGACTTTGGATTTTCGTTCTTATTGTTTGGATTCGGGTCTACGGGATCTAACGTATACGAGCAACCGAGTTCACTTGGAACAAGCAATAGTGTTTGGACCAAGATTGATAGAGTTCTCGCTATCCCTCTCTGGTCGGTTTCCTCTCTCGCCTTTTTCAGTCCATTTCGATCCGCTCGGGGTTTTTTCGATCACGTTCAAGCTTTGGTTCGGATTCATAGTTAGCCTCCCCTCGGTCGAAAGCCATTCAAATTTTTCAACATGTGGGCTCACCATGACGGCTTCTTCCAGCTTGTTAATCGTCACCGCGCTCGTGGTATACAAGGCACCCCGACGTTCATTCTCTATCGTAAGCTTAAGACTCTAAAGCGGCCTCTGCGTGAACTAAATAAGCTTCACTTTAGCCATATTTTTTAGCACGTGGCCCGAGCGCAAGTTGACCTTGAGCATATTCAGCGAGCCCTTTAGTCCAACAAAGATAAATGCAACCTTCTTGAGCGGGACAAGCGGAATAGGCTGGCCTTAGTCAATCTCCGATCCATGGAGAAAATGTTTTATGGTCGAAGCTCAAATGCAAGTTCCTTGAAGAGAGTGATAGGGCTAGTCGGTTCTTTCACTCCCTCATGAACCAAAATCACAAGAAGAATTTTATTGCAGCTATCGAAGATAATGAGGGTCGACTTACGACTTCGCTTTTGCAGTAGGTGATATTTTTATTGGGTATTATCGCAGCTTCTTGGCACTACTCGGGCTACCACTCCCCTCGATGTCGGGGTTGTTTCTCGTGGGCCTTGCCTTGATTCAGATTCTCATGCACTTCTCCTTGCACTACTTTTCGATGACTTAATCCGTGAGACTTTATTTAGAATCGACAACGATAAAGCCCGGGTCCGGATGGCTACTCTTCTCTATTTTTCAAACAAGCTTGGGACATAGTGGGGACCAATTTTTATGCGATCGTAAAAGACTTTTTCTCATCCGGTCAATCGCTTAAACAGAGTTAACCACTCGGTTATTACCCTTATTTTGAAATCGGTAAATGCCTCCTCTCCTTCGGACTTTCAACCAATTTCCTACCGTAATGTGGTTTATAAGGTCATCTCTAAAATTCTCTCTTCCAGGGTTAGCGAGAGCTTTGGTGGGCATTATCGGCCCCATGCGAACGCTTTCTTGGGCGAAAGGAAAATGTCGGATAACATCCACCTTCTCCAAGAATCGCTCCGGCAATATGGCCGTAAGCGTGCCTCGCCTTGGTGCCCTTTGAAGGTGGACTTCAAGAAGGCTTTTGATTCTATGCAATGGGCCTTTCTCCGTAATCTTCTCATGTCACTTGGCTTCTCGAGTACTTTTGTCCACTTGATCATGGCTTGTGTGGAATCACCTTCCTACTCGGTTTCGGTGAATGGCGGCTTGTTTGGTTTATTCCATGGCAAGGGTGGGATTCAACAAGGAGACCCCCTCTCCCCCTATCTCTTCATTGTGTGCATGGAATACTTCTCCCGCATGCTCCTCGCTTGCCTCGGATAGAGCCGGCTTCCGTTTTCATCCGCAGGTGTGAATTTCATCGAATCGGTCACATTGCATTTGCATATGATATTATGCTTCTTTGCCGAGACGACAAGGCTTCGGTTCGGTGCTTAGTGCGATAGCTGCACATGTTTGGCGACACCTTGGGTCCGACCATCAACTCGGCCAAGTCTTCAATTTACTTTGGTGGCACAGGAAGCTCCCCGAAACGAGGTTATTCTCTAGGATATGAGGTTTTTGAAAGGCTCCTTCCCATTTTGTTACCTCGGTGTCCCCCTTAGCCCTCATCGTCTCTTAGCCGACCCGGTTCTCCCCCTTTTACGAGCTTAGAGTCGGTGGTCCAATCTTGGATGGGGAAGCACTTGTCTTACGTTGGCCGGCTTGAGCTATTGTGCTCGCTATTAGCGAGGATTACTCACTTTTGGTTAGCGATCTTTCCTCTTCCAGACAGTGGTACTCTCCCGCATTACTAGCATTTGCCGCAACTTCTTGTGGATCGGGGACAATAAGAGGGGTCACTTAGCCTTGGTTGCCTTGTCTCAAATTTGTCGGCCGAAAGAGGAAAGAGGCTTGGCGCTATGGCATCCGCCTACTCTCCACCGATGTTACCTTGCGTGTCGGTTGTGGGACATCCACCGCAAGGCAAACTCAATTTGGATCCGATGGGTCCATCACTACTATCTAAGGGATCGGTTAGTGTGGCAATGCCAAGTCCATAAATCTATATCACCCACCCGGAAGGCACTACTCTCCACACGTGACAAGTCGCTTGGAAAATTCGAGGCAAGCGCTGCGGTCGCGGCGTGCTTAGAAGCTTGGGGCCTCGCCAATTTCATCCGTAATGCCTACCATGACGTTCGCCCGACAGGCAATCCGGTGAATTGGCATAAAGTTATCCGGGACCGGTGGGCCTTGCCAAGGCATGCTTTCGTTCTATGGTTGGCCGTTCAAGGAAGGCTCAAAACTATAGATCGGCTTCGATTTATTTTGAAGGATGTCGGTTGTGTCCTCTGTCGGTCCGCTCCGGAATCTCACTCACACCGGTTCTTTGAGTGCCCTTGGACCGCATGCCTCCGGGCGCTAGTCGGGCGCTAGGCTGCGAATTCATCGACACATGTCTATGCTGCTTGGTGCCATTCGGAGCCTCTCTCTTTGAAGGAATAACTCGGAAGCTCGAATGCATCGGCTTTCTTTAGGGATCATTGTTTATCTTATTTGGTAAGAGAGGAACAAGAGATGTTTTGATGATACTCACTCTCCGACCCCAGTTGATCGTTCTTTCTAAAGATTTCGGGTTCTTTTCTTTATGATTTTCCACTTTCATGAGAAGGACAACGGTATTCTCGGTGTTGGTTGACCATTCTCACTCTATTGCCCTCGGCCCGGATTGGCTTGTCTCTCGGCTCGCTTGCTCGGCTCCATTTCATGTTCGTTCTGTCGCCTTATGCTTTGTAGTCGCAGTCGGCATACTTAGCACTTGTTTCTTCAATTCGCGTAGGCCCACTCTCATGGCCGTATCGCTTTTGGGTTTTTTCAGCAAAAGTTTTTATAAGTCGTTGAGCCTTTGTAAATGGTTCCGGTTAGCTAGTGTTTGATCTCTATCTAGTTGTTCCTGGAATCTCTAATGTTTTATTCCTCGATCAACCGTCTAGCTCTAGCTCTTTTGCTTTGGTTTTTTGGGAGCCTGTTCCCACCTTTTGCACATCCTCTATATGCTTCTCTTGCTTGGGTTTTCTAGCTTGTTTCTCTTTGATTAATATACTTACATTTTAATCAAAAAAGAAAGAGCTCTCGATCCGTCAATCTTTACTATTTTTAGACCTAGTAAGTTTACCCGTGTTGAGTCAAATTAAGCCGCGAGACTCCACTCCCGGTGGTGCCCTTTCATCAATTCCTTTAAGTTTCATCCTTGTGACCAAACTCCCCGGAACCCAAAAATTTTGATTTCTCATAAGGTGCTGGTGGAGTCCTAGAAGCAACATCCGCCAATCCCCGGTCGGCATCGTTTATGGTTAAGACTAGGACGATACCCGATTGTCTTCGAGCCCCCAACTTTTGTTCTTGATTAATGAAAACATCCTTGGCAAATGCTTTCGCAGTTGTTTGTCTTTCATAAATCCAAGAATTTCACCTCCGACTATGAAATACGAATGCCCCCGATCGTCCCCGTTAATCATTACTCGATCCCGAAGGCCAACACAATAGGATCGAAATCCTATGATGTTATCCCATGCTAATGTATCCGGAGCGTAGTGTCACGGACTTGGCCTTTCCCAAGCTCACATGTGACACTTGGCTCTCTTCTTCTCTAAGAAAAACCAAGTCGACCTTCCTCACACAAAGTTGCTAAGCAAGAAAGACACACACAAGAGATATAAATACTCTTTGTATTGCTTTCTAAAAGCTTACAACTCTACGGACACTCTCTTAAGTTTATGAATGTTTAGGTGTTTTGGCCAAGTGAAGGCCTCACCTATTTATAGCCTTCCACCTCCTCAATTGATGGCTAAGATCTATTTGATCTAATGGCTATAATTGTTTCTCTAGAAATATCCTATCTAGATATTTACAAGGAACTATCTAGATATGTACATGTTAGATTAGTGAGGGACTCTCTAGATTTCTCTAGATCATCCTAGAGACTTCTCCAATGCTCCATGCTCTTCTAGAAGCTTCCGACCTTATCTAGAGGCTTCTCCTTTGCTCCATACCCTTCTAGAAGCTTCCGGACTTATCTAGAGGCTTCTCCATTGTTTCATACTCTTCTAGAAGCTTCTAGACTTATCTATTATTCTCTAGAATCTCTAGAAAAATC